CCATCTTCATATTTGTTACTTGGAATTTGGAAATACCTCAGATGTCTCTCCAACTTCCTTAATCAAATAGGAAAGAACAAGAAAAAGGCAAAAAAAAAAAAAAAGAAAGAAAAAGAAAGAAAGAAAGAAAGAAAGAAAGAAAGAAAGAAAGAAAGAAAGAAAAAAAAAAAAGCTGGGAATGAAACCCACCATTTTCCTCTGAATACAAGATTCACATTGCTCATTTGCACCTCTGAGTGGTTTTGTTTTATTTATGTCACAGTTTTAAGAACTTGCTGGGTCCCATTATTGCTCTGTGTACTGAAGTGGCTGGATTTCCTTCTCCTTGTGCAGGCTTGGTTATTGATTTTTTGACAATGCTTAATATGAAAAGTTATAAATCTCCATGCAGTAGAGCCATATAACCATAAATATCTGGGCAAGTGGACATGCGCCGGGTGTGAGGAGGAAATCGTGTCGCCATTGTTCAGCCACCAGACCAATGCTGTTTGAGAGGAGTCATGCCACAGGTTTGAACCTGCACATGATGGAAGTATTCAAACAAGCTTTAAAAAGATATTATGTGGTTTTAAAAATATTTTGGTCACAAATCAAATGTCAGCTCTAAGTGCAGTGTTTATAGACTACTGCTGCTCTGTGTGATACAACCCATAAAAGATAGAAGCACCGGCATATTTGCACCAGAAGGCAGTTTTTTCTTAGGAGCCCATTATTTGGAGGATACTTTTACAGCACCAGCAAGTCCAGTTAGAAACTTCCAGTATCTCTTACTGCTTCTGCTTTCTCACCATCTCCCCTGGTGTCCTCTCAGACCAAGCCAGCACCTGATTTTTTTTTCCAGATTCTAGTAACACCCTGCTGGTCTCTGCAAGCACACTGGCCCTCCTCCCTCATCCATTCTCCATGGGGCTGCTAGTTATTCAGTTCATATTTTCTCTGCATAAAATTCTGAAATGCTTTCCTATAAATATAAATATAAATATAAATATAAATATAAATACAAATATAAATATAAATATAAATATAAATATAAATATATAAATATATATATATTTTTTTATCAGGTAGGGTTTGATCAGGGAAAGAAAACACCTGGAGGTGAAATAGAACAGGATTTATTAGAGAGATTCGAACTTACACAGTTCTTGAGGAAGTGAGCTGAGAATCAATTCACCCAACATCACCTTGCCAATCTGACTACTGCATCTAAAATTGCAAAGCAGGTACCTTCAGCCAGGTCCAGGACCAGGTGTGGTGGAGGTGAGGGCAGGGGAGGGGCACTGAGTCTATGGAATCCGGGAGGACACTCATTCATATGTAAAATTTTCAGGAAGTCCTATCCTCTGAAATGGGAAATGTAACCTAAATGAATATTCAACTCAGGGAGACCGAAAAATCACAAATCATAAAAAATCATAAATAAGCATAATGGCCAGGGTGAAATAACTGTGGCAAGTATCTCGGGAAACAAAACCAAAATTACCCCCCAAGCCACCCACCCACCACCACCAAATCTTCAACAGTTTGGCAAATTTGCTCTATATTTTATAGAAGTTAATTTATGTATATATTTTCAAAAATGACACATCCTACATATTGTCTCTGGTTTCCAGCTCAATACTACTAACAATACTATAGAACTACTGGTTCTCTTCTCTTTTTTTTTGTTTTTTGTTTTTTTTTTTTTTCCGTTAAAGTTTGGTGCTCCTTCCTGCGTCTGTACCCGCTGGGATTAGCAGCATTGCTTCCTCTGAGCGGCGGTCCGGCGATTGCAGCCTAGCCTTGGTGTCTCTGCTCAGGTTTCCCACCTGAGGTCCAAGGCTCCTGGCAACTGCGTTCACAGCTCGGCCGGCTCTCCCCACTGCCTGTGCTGCAGGTGTGCGCAACCTGACGCTTCCCGCGGATGCCCTGCAAAATGCCTGAAGCCTGCTTTTTTTTTTTTTTTTTTTTTTTTTTGGTGTGGGTCACTCCTGTCTGTACAGTTGTGCACGGGCAGCTCCGTGCCCATTACCGTCCTCCTAACTCTGAAACCTTACCTAGATGGTGGAAGGCGAGTGGTAACCCTCTGCTGGTACCTTGAGCCGAAAACAAATGTTCAGGCTGAATGTGGGTGGAAGAGCCACCTTGTTCCTGTAGGAACCGTGCCGCCGAGCAGCAACTATGCATATTCCATCCAACTGAAAGGCACATTCCAGCTTAGAGCCACGTCTGCTACAGGTTTTTTTCTTTCATCCATTCTCATCCTTTAAGTATGGTTTACATACTTTACATTGGTTTTTTGTTGTTGTTGTTGTTGTTGTTTTGAAATGCAGATAATTTAATGGAATTTACTTGATTTTCCCCTCTCAGGGTCTGACTTCAGGAAATCAAATTACAAAGTCATCATCATATCCTAAATTTATTGCAAACTGACCTGCAGGCAAAAGGATAGAACTATTACATAAACACTTCCATTCCATGTATATATCTTAAATAGAGGAGGAATTCAAACAAGAATATTGTGAGCGCTGGTTATTTTTCTCTTGTACCATAGAAAAATGTATAAAAATTATCAAAAAGCTAATGTGAAAAAATTTAAAAAAAAAAAGGCTAATGTGCAGGGTTACATTGTTCGTGATCACAGGAGGCAGCAAGTCGCTCTGCCTGAGGAATTTCCCAGGAGAGATGACATTTCTTAAGTGGGTTTTTTTCCCCCACAGATTCACAGGTTGTGAGCTTGAAACTTCCTAACATTGCTCTTTCAAATCTGTATCAATTAACTATGCAGTTTGGTACTTTTCTCCTAAAAGTGCTACAATTATTTGTTTTCTTCCTTCTTAAAAAATGAAGGATAGGTGACATACAGTGATAGTGATCATGTTTCATCAGTTTCATCCAAATTTCTGGCCCCCATGAGCCAACAGGAAGGAAAGACTCAATCAACCCATATGGAGATTGAATCAATTATTAATGGAACTGTGGTTTTCTTTCAGCAGAATAAACTAGCTACATATTCCTTGGTCTTGGTAACAGGGAATAAGGCACTGAACAGTGAGGTCCTAGACATCATCGATGAAAATCCTTGCCCTGTGCCCTGATTGGCAGCTACATAGTGACTCTAAACAGATGTCAGCTTCTGTCACCAAGTGAATTATTTAGATGATGGAAGCTTGGCTTGCAGAAGAGCACCACTAACCGAAAACGAATGGCCAGGCTAGCCACAAGTCCTTTTTTTTTTTTTTTCTAGCCACAAGTCCTACCGTTCTTTGCCAAACAGTGGAAATCAATTATTTAACATTATGGACCAATATATATCACATTCCTCGGTTCCAGATGTTTGCTGTGGATTGATGTAAAACTGCCTTTAGTTTGGTGCTCCCTTCCCCCCAACTCGGGTCTCTTTTCACTTTGTCTCTTAAATGTACTACACCTGCTGTGAATTGCTCCCCTAAATGATCTCCCCTCTAACCAAATACTTCCTCTGGAAAAAAAATCTGGGGAATACATAATATTTCCTTCTACTAGCGGAACAGAGCTATTATTTGGTGACCTTATGGGCTGGGTGCCAAACCTCTGGTATCCTTTTTTACCTGTGGTATCTCATTTAATTTTAAGACTTCCTATGATAGTCTAGGAACTGTGCATTGTTATTCTAATTTACAGGTAAGAAAACTCATGCTCAGGTCAGGGAGGTGGGGAAAATGATTTCAGATGTCTTTTTAAGGAACAGCAAAGGCATTTTCTGTTACTTGGTTCCCAGGGAGTTTGTCACCATCCTCCGAATGTGAGCGGCTAGCACTCTGTGTAGACCACTGTTTCTGGCAGGGGTTCACTCTTGGCTATGAAGGTGTTTGTCTTCATACTTTGAGTTGTGCCTTCTTTCCAATAGAATCCCTTCATTTAGGAAACATACGGACACATGAAAGCTCTGGAATTGGGGTTTTTGTTGTCAGTGATGGAAACATGGTGAATCCTTAGTAGGTAGGTGTTACAAATGAAAATAAATAGAGAGGTTTTTACTCTTTGGAGACAGCAAATTTCAGTTTCAATAAATTATAGTCACTTTTATTATAATGAAGGATTTTTGCTTCTTTAAAAAAAAGATTTTATTTGTTTTAGAGAGGGGGAGAGGAAGCAAAGGGGGAAGGGCAGAGGGAGAGAGAACCTTCAAGGAGACTCCCTGCTGAGCATGGACTACACACCACCCCTACGATAGGGGACTCAGTTCCAGGGACTGAGCTGAAACCAAGAGTTGGAAGCTTAACCAACTGTACCACCCAGCACCCTGGATTTTTGCTTTTTTGAAGTATTTCTGAGTATGAGCCCTAGACAAAAGAAAACATCCAGAGCAGAGAGGTTTTTATTCTTGTTCTTTTATTATTAAACCTAGGCGTGCCCCCCCCCATTTTTTGGGGGGAATAATCTGTGAAATCATTAAGTCAGAGATGTTTGTCCTACATGTGTTTATATCTACAATTTCTGGCACATGATGGACTTTCAACAGAAGTTTGTTCACTTGGACAGTGAATGAGCAATGGAATGATCAGTAGCCTCAGTATATTTAATTCATTTGAAAAAATGACAAATGAGAAAAGTTCTGATACAAGGCTGGTTTTGGTAAAAGTTATTAATTATGGGTAGTTTTTTTTAAAAAATGGAGATTATTGTTGAATTAACCAAGGAAGCATAGTTGTGACTAGTGAGATAAAATTAAGCAAAAGGAAACAGTGAATACCAAGAAAAATTTTCAGTAGATGAGGCTGGGATTAAATCAGGCAAAGGAGTCCCAGTGGAAATGGCCAGGGGACATTTAACACCATGCATGTCACTTAAGGCTGCAGTGAGCTTAAACAATTTACTAGAGACGGACTCTGGCTTTGGCAGCATGATAAGTGGGACCATATCTCTAGTTTCATTGATTCTCTTCCTTACGCAGGTATACCTTCAACAGCCTCCCAGCCCCTATGGACAGAATTTATGTGTGTGTTAAATTTTCTGACTCTAGTTTTCTTTTTCTCCAGAAAACATTCTTTTCAGAGCATCTCCTGGTATCATCGGAAATGTCTTCCTTAAGTGGGAAAGTCCAAACTGTTTTGGGCCTCATAGAGCCAAGCAAACTGGGCCGTACTCTGACCCATGAACATTTGACGATGACCTTTGACTGCTCTTACTACCCACCTCCTCCATGTTATGAAGCTATCTCCAAGGAACCTATTATGATGAAAAATTTATTTTGGATTCAAAAAAACCCTTATTCCCATAAAGAGAATCTTCAGCTGAATCAGGAGACGGAAGCCGTTAGGGAAGAACTGTTGAATTTCAAAGCCAAAGGTGGAGGGGCTCTGGTAGAGAACACGACTGTTGGGATTAGCCGAGACGTGAAGACTCTAAAGTGGTTTGCGGAGGAGACTGGTGTCCATATTATATCTGGAGCTGGGTTTTATGTGGATGCAACTCACTCTCCAGAGACCAGAGCCATGTCAGTGGAGCAGGTGAGAAGCCCTGAGGTCTTCGACAATATTTGTGTGTAAATTCAGAAAGGCCAGAACTTCCAACGTTGGATTATCCCTACATGCCATCTCCATTGGGGAATGTCACGGACTCAGAGGTAGCTGGGCATGCTACAGAAATTTGCTAGCTAGCAAAGACATCTGCCAGTTGGGACCCAAAATTAGGAACATTTCATTTCATAAAGAAAAAGAAGCATCAGGGAGGAGATCTTAACCCACTGGTCACGGGAAAATCCAAAGCGTTGACATTTAGATTTGGATATACTGTATCTGTGCTCAGTAATGGTGCCACAACCTGTTTGTAAGCCTCATTTTTCCATGATAAATCCCAGTTATGTAATCTCAATTTTCTTTGTGGATTTTATAATAACCAGCAATAAAAATTCACTGTAGGGTGAGACTTGGCAGGCAGAGACTTGGCACATTGGCGAATATGTTTCCTTCTTTTACAAAACAGGAAGGGTAGGAGAAAATCATTCCTGTTTTTGTTATCATATGATCTTAGGCAAGAATGGGCAGAAGGAAGGAAATCTTTCAGAGATAAAAAGAAATAATTATGTGCTCTTCTGTACATGCCTGTATGTGTTTATGCCTGTTTATACCTATTGTCTATATTTGTGTGTATCTTCCATTGCCTGCTTGACAGGCATAGAAGGTCAGCCACAGTCTGCAAAGATTCAGTCAATCATTAAAATCTCTGTATTTCAAAACCTTATCTGCATTATTTTCCAACTGGGCCTCTACCTTTTTACATGCTTATTATTATTTGAGGACTATCCTGAAGTCAGCTATTACACATGCTCCCAACCACTTCTAGTAGTAACATACACACGAACCAAAAAATGTGATATTAGTATTGCGTGCTGTGAATTCTCTATGCTGTATGGGCTTAAGGACTGCGTCAATAAGGGAGAATTAAAGGATTAGTTGATACAGTTGACGTATGTTCAAGGGCAGTCTTTTTATGTTCTAGATGTTCCTTAGGTGAAATTATACATTTTTTTCTCATCTGAATGTACTTTCATGAAATCACATTTTTTCCCCTACAGCTTCCTAAAGCCACAAATTTCTTATTAAATAATCACAGTAAGATATTACTGAATCTCTGATTTAGAATAACTTGTTGAATTAGAGATTTGGCCTTTCTCATTGACCAATATTAATGGAATGGACGGCGAATACATTTTTTAAAGAATGAATGACCAAAGGAATAAAGCCAATGACATACTGTGGTGACTCTGGGTTGATAAATTCCACAGCCTATAATGTATTTTCTTTCCTGCTCTTCCTTAGCTTACTGATGTCCTCACTAATGAAATTCTCCATGGAGCTGATGGAACTACTATCAAGTGTGGTGTCATTGGAGAAATTGGTTGCTCCTGGCCTCTAACTGAGAGTGAGAAGAAGATTCTTCAAGCAACAGCTCATGCCCAGGCTCAGCTGGGCTGTCCTGTTATTATTCATCCTGGAAGGCATCCAAGTGCACCGTTTCAGATTATCCGCGTGTTGCAAGAAGCAGGCGTAGACATCTCCAAAACAGTTATGTCCCACATTGATAGGTAAGCAGACTCTCTCCAAAGTAGTTCAAGTCACCAGATGATTATGAATGATCAAATTAATATCATCAGATTAATGAAATACTAATCACCTACAGAAAACTACTAACCACCTGGATGATAGTATTTATAAAGTTTTACAACAGATGTTAATAAAAGTCAATGCTGCCATTTTTGTGTCCTGACTCTAGGTCTGTTAGTGTTCTAGGTTTTTTGTGTAAATCATTTCTTATTTACTTAATCCTTCATAACCCTTTATAGTAACTGTCCCTGTTTACTTCACTTCTTTGCCTCAGGGTCTGATATTATAGTAGTTGCCAAGTCTATATGCTCAGTATTTGTCAGTAGTTGGAGTGATAAATTTATCTGCAAATATAAAGGGAAGGGAAAGTGAATGGTTTCACCCTGAGAAAATGTAAATATTCAAATTTGCTGTTGCGACTGATGGTTTGCATCATCTGAATTTTGGAAAATGCAATTATAAACCATAATACTGGGGCACCTGGTGGCTCAGTCGGTTGAGCATCCGACTCTTGATTTCAGCTCAAGTCATGATCTCAGGGTTGTGAGATTGAGCCCCAAATAGGGCTCCATACTGAGAGTGGAATCTGCTTGAGATTCTTCCTCTGCCCTTCCGCTTCACTGTCTATAATAAATAAATAAATCTTAAAAAAAACATAATAGTAATGGGTATATTATTTGTTTAGTAGTAGTCTTAGTTTCCCATGACTACTATAACAAATTATAAGAAACTGGGAGGCTTAAAACATGAGAACTTGACTCTACCATATGCTGTGAGATCTAGGGTAAGTTCATACAAATTTAAAATAATGTACTTGATAATGTTACTTTGTATGATATAGAACATATGTAGCATCTTTAATCAAGAAGGATGATTTCTTCACATTTTTTAAACAGTGTGATATATATCATGTAAATAAGTAAGATAAGATACATTTTTAAATTTTATAAATATTTCTTAGTTTCTTAAAAGCATTGTATTCTGCTATTATTATGCTTTCTATAGGTCCATTAGATTACATTAGTAACCATGTTCAAAATTGTATATTCCTACTTTGTGACTGCTCAATCTATTGGTTACAAAAAGAAGTAGGTTAAAATCTATTATGGTGGATTTTTTAGTTTCTAATTGTACAGGTTTCAGTTTGAAACTCCGCTATCACATGCATATAAGTTGTTTCACCTTCCTGGTGAATTAAAATTTATTTCAACATGTATTGATGTATTGAGCTGCTTTATCTCTAGTAATTTGAGTAATGCTTCCTGTTTTAGAGACCGTTTTATCTGATATTGATATGACTATAGTGATCTCTCTATGTTAGTTTTATAATTTAAATGTGTCTTATATAAGGAGCATGTGGCTGGGTTTTGGGTTTTACCCAGTGTCTTCTTCTATATGAAAACTTCAGTTTATTTACATTGACTACTCACTAAAACATTTGTTCCACTTTTCCTTTTTTTTTTTTTAAGATTTTATCTATTTACTTATTTGAGAGAAAGAGAGTGTGTGCGAGCACATGTGAGTGGTGGGAGGGGCAGAGGGAGAGGTGGAGAATCTCAAGCAGACTCTTCAGGGAGTGTGGAGCCTGAGGCAGGGCTCAGTCTTGTGACTCCAAGATCATGACCTGAGTCAAAACGGAGTCTGTCACTTAACCAACTGGGCTATCCAGGCACCCCCCAACTTTTTCTTTTTGTCATAGTTAATGTCATCCTTTCTTATTTCTTTTATTGACTTTTTTCAACTTATTTTATCTTTCCCCTTTAACACTTTGGAAGGTAGCTATACTATTTCTATCCTATCAGTGGTTATAATAGAAAATGTAACACATATATCTAACATACCAAATTTTAAATATAACGCATATTTTACCAACCTTCCTGGTAATACAAAGACTTTAGAATCCTTCACCTTAAATCACCGCCTGACATATGTACTATTTTTCCAGGATTTGTGCTTATTTTCTTTTCTTAAACCCAGTGATTAGACATTATTTTACTATCATAAAACATATAGATGCTCAATGCATATTTATATTAGCCTTTCTGATTGCTATTTTCTTTGCTTACCATTCCCTCTTCATCTCAGATCTTTATCTTTGAGTTTCCTAAGATACATCATTTGAAGTTCCTTAATTGTGTGTCTGTTCTGGTAATGAATACTTAGAACATAATGTGTCTGAAAATGTCTTCACTTCATTCCTTCATTCATAAGAGATAATTAAATAGAATACACAATTTATAATAATTAATTAAAACAGATAATTCTACTTAAAAGTTACTTTTTTGGGCAGACTGGGTGGCTCAGCGGTTTCGCGCCACCTTCAGCCCAGGGCCTGATCCTGGAGACCCAGGATAGAGTCCCACATCAGGCTCCCTGCATGGAGCCTGCTTCTCCCTCTGCCTGTGTCTCTGTCAATCTCTCTCTCTGTGTCTCTCACGAAAAATAAATAAAATCTTTTAAAAAAAAGTTACTTTTTCTAAGCACTTTAAAGATATTCCATTTTCAATAACATTATTGCTGTTCATAAGCTGGCTGAACCTAAATATGTTTCCTTGGAGGTAACCTGACTTTTCCGTTTCTAACACCTTCGTCTCTGGGAGTCTGTATCTGCACTATGATCTATCTCAGTGTGAATTTCTTTTTATTGTGTGTGCTTGGGATTCATGGATATGAAGATGTATTTTTCATTTATTCCTGGGAAACTTCAGCCATTGTCTCTTCAAATAGTGCTTCATCTGTATCTTCTTGATTATTTACACCATAAACTCCAGTTTAATATATGTAGGATCTGAGCACCTGCCCTACAGGTCTCTTAGCATCTCATTCATATTTCCATCCATTTGCATGGATGATCTATTTTCTTAAAGCTCTATCTTCCTATTTACTGCTTCTCTCTCCAGCACAATCAATATGTTGCCTAGCCTATCAATTTAGTTTATAATATTAAGAACCAAAAACTTATCTTTTTAAAAAAGTAAATAGGTTATAGAATTAAAAAAAACATTTATTTTTTTATTTTAGAGAGAGAGACAGAGAAAGGGAGAGTAAGGCTGCATGAGGGGAAGGGCAGAGGTAGAGAATCCTAAGCAGATTCCCTGCTGAGCCCAGAGCCCATCCTGGGGCTATCTATCTCCCCACCCATGAGATCATAACCTGAGCCTAAACTGTGAGTTGGATGCTTAACTGACTGAAACACCCAGGAGTCCTCTATTTGTTTTTGTTTTTGTTTTTCTTAAGGTTTTAACCTTCTTTATTTTGGATATTTTGCCTATACTTGTAGGCAGTAGGGGCACTACCAATCTGGGGCTACTTTAAACTCAGTTTTTAAAAATGAAAATAAATGTTTATTTGTGGTGAAACTGTCATAATATAAAATTTACCTACCATCTTACTCATTTTGAAGTAGTGTTAAATACATTCATTCACACTGTGGTGCAACCAAACTCCAGAACCCTTCACTCACAAAAGTAAAACTCCGTACCCACTGAACAAGTCCCTACTCCTCCTCCCTATTGGCCACAGCAACCACCATTCTACCGTTTGTTCACCTCTATGAATCTGACATCTCCAGGTACCGCATACAAGTGGAATAATAAAGTATTGGTTTTTTTTTTTTTTTTGTGACTCTTCAAACGTTTGACTCAAGGAGTTAAGAACCACAGAAGTTCTATGAATTCTGGCTCCTGTACTCAATGAAGGCAGGCTCATGGCTATGGATTCTTCCTGAAGATGTTTTTTCTCAATCTGCTTCCCTTTCAGCAGAAACCACGACTAAGAAAGGGGACGCCTGGGTGGCTCAGTGGTTGAGCGTATCTGCCTTCGGCTCAGGGCGTGATCCTGTGGTCCTGGGATCAAGTCCCATATCGGACTCTCCATAGAGAGCCTGCTTCCCCTTTGCCTGTCTCTGCCTCTCTCTTTGTGTCTCTCATGAATAAATAAATAAAATCCTAAAAAAAAAAAAAAAAAAAAAGACTGAGAAAAGCATAGAATCTCCCAAGACTCCCTCTGTGGACCAGCTTTTTACCTGCTCCGCCGCCCCCATGAGTATGGTCTGGGGGAGAGAGAACTCCTTTTATTTGCTGATGGGAACCATGTCACCAGTTTACCTCCTTCCTCATCCAGGCTGGGCTCTGTCTTGCTTTGGCCCATTAACCTACCCTGCTCCCCGCCAGGCAGATGGACGCTCTAGGTCTTCCCTCACATTTCATTTTTTCTGCTCTCTTGTTTCTGCACCATGAGCCAGTCTTTCACTTCCCCACCAGCCTAACCAAGCATTTAAAAATATGACTTTTCCCCCATTCATTTTATTCAGTATTTTACATGCACTATGCTGGAAAAGTTTCCTGGGAACATTTAGTCCACCATGATCCTTAAAGAGGAATCCTTTCTAATTCTCTTTACAATTAGACAAGTAGATAAGTTAGAAAATTTTGCTTGACATTACTAGAAAGTAGGCTCTTGTTAGAAATGGTGAAAAAAGTCTTGACTCCGAGTACAGGAGGACATCCTTGCTCATAAAATCAAACAACACATATATGTGCATATATGTGTATTTTCTTTTAAATAACAAAGCTACATGATCTAATTTTCAATGGCTGCAATTCCAGTCAGTGCCTCCCTCTAGAATGGCTCAGGATGCACTTGAGAGGTTGGCCCGACATCAGACAAATTCAGAGCATGCTAGAAAATCCTGAAACCATTTCTAGAGCAGCCACCCATTCTGTACCTATATTAGGGACTATGCAGGGTTCCAGTGCCTGAAAAAGCAATACACAGAAGTAGGAACATTTCAGTGGAGAGGCAACTGGGCAAAATGGTTTCAGAAAAAGAGTGGTGCATTTGGAAAAACAAATGGAATAAAGTAACAGAAAAAAAAATAATCGGAGACAGATGCAGGCAACTTTAGCTTTTTGATGCGTGGGTTCACAGCAAGACAGTTGCCAGGCTGAAGCTTGACTAGGTCAGCCTTTCACAGACTCTC